GTTTGCACAGCGCTGTCAGATTATATGCATGAAAGGTGTATTGCTGACATGAATGGTTTTGAAAACGTTTCCGTAGAGGCTACCTCGGTTATCAGTGGGGAGAAGGAGGTCAGGGACTCCTACTTGAGTCTTTGCCAGAAGAGAACTTGTGTACATTGACAAAGAAACCCACTGAAATGTGATCATGATCTCTACCAATATATAAAGGATATGGTAGTCTCTACTAAAGAAATAATAATAGGCAGTAGTGACATAGAAAGGCTTAAACGTATATGTTAAAAAGGAGATACTTCCAAGCAAGACTCAGGTAAATAGAATTGGTAGCTTACTCTTGGTTACCAGGTATTCATCAGCAAGAGACCCAAGCAAAACTGGCACAGCAGAGAAGGGCCCTCGGATGCCCTGCTCACAGCTCTCTGGAGGACTGCATGGAATCCACTATCCTTCATGTTGCCCGCGTTGGCCTGGTCTTACTTAGATAAAGGATAATTTAGCAATTATTTTTTTCACCTAAGCAGATAAGAAAACCCAAGGCCCATGGCTCCTTAGCTGGACAGTGACGGCAAAGTAGAAAAGGGAAGAAAAGGGAAGAGAAACTAAAAAGATGGAAAGCACTTTTGTGATAGGAAAGAACATAGAAAATTTATTCCTAACAGCAAATTTTTGATAATGATTATCTACCTTTTTTTTTTAATTTTTATTTTTATTTTTTGCCGTACGCGGGCCTCTCCCGTTGCGGAGCACAGGCTCCGGACGCGCAGGCTCAGCGGCCATGGCTCACGGGCCCAGCCGCTCCGCAGCACGTGGGATCCTCCCGGACCGGGGCACGAAGCCGTGTCCCCTGCATCGGCAGGCAGACTCCCAACCACTGCGCCACCAGGGAAGCCCTATCTACCCTTTTTAATCACTTCTTCAAAGGATAAACTTAGCTTCTGTTTGCTTCCCTGATCTTTTCCCACCAAGTTTGATAATTTGACTGTAGATATTATAAAGACAGGCCATGAAAATGTGTGGCATTTAATGTTTAAAGTCTAGCTTGAAAAAGAAAAAAAATGTATATATACACATACTCTTACCTTAAAAGGAAAATCCACCATGTATTTAATTTCAATCTATTCTTTAAAGATTTCACATAAAAAAAATTTCACTCTACGCCCATAGCCATATATAATAAAGAGTGTAATGAATAAAGTACACTTTTTAAAAAGTCTATCCCGGGCCAAGGTATGTGGGTATGATGCACTGTTTTCAGATTTTGTTTTCTTTAATCCTCCAACAAAGATTGGCCCCAACTTTGCATGCACGCCTTATGTTATCCAAATATCTCTGCCAATCTTTCACATGCTATCTTTGGCCAGTGTTCTCCTTGAAAGATAGCTGAAAAAAATATGCTTTTCTGTTTGTTTAATATCTGAAGAAGAACTGCTACAACTGAGGTTGGCTTTATCAGCTCAAGCATTTTGGGGATGACGAGGTCTCTCTCTGGTCCCACCCCTCCATGAAGCTAGAGATCCGCAGTTGTTTCAACACATAGATTTACTTTGGATTGTTTTTCACTTGTCTAATCAAAACATTATTTCATGGGCATTATTTGATGCGTCAGTACCCTAGTGAAACTTTTATATTGATATTTTCCCCTTAGAAACAATAAACACATTTTTCTCCAAAATATAAACATTCATAGGCCAGCAACACTCTAAAATCCTTCGTAATCCTGGCTTTCTTTAATAAAGCCACTTAGCCCAGTCCAAAATAATCCAAACCTTTCCTACCCTTCTCAATATTCAAGTTCTGGAGTTTAGAGTTTTGTCTCTTATGTGCTTTGCCTCTGCATTCTCGAATTCTCGTGCTTTCTACTCCAAATAGCTGTAGGACTCCACTTAAATCCCATCAGATTCTTTTTACAGCTGAAATAGGAGCCCTGAGGTCATTTCTAGGCCAACTCTGCTGCCTAATCTGTGAGAATGTCCTCATCACACCTCCCCCTCCCAATTATTTTTAAACTCAACTCTTCAAAGTAAAAAAGTGTAACAGAGCCCAGAGAAGCAGAAATGCTAGAACTTGCCTTTTTCTTTTTATCTTTCACAGGAATGGCATTTTTAAACACCAGCTTGTGTCAGACATTGAACAGTCTCCACCCAGGAATGAATGTTTTGATTAAAAGTTATTTAGTATCTCTAGCTCCTTGGAATTCTGCCTAAAGCTGGAGGTATTCTTAGCTGCAGGTCTTGTGCCTCTTTGACCAGATAGAAAAATGGCTCAAAATCTAGAGGGAATAAATGGCATTCTCAAAATAGCTACTTGATTATGTAGGTGTTTATATCATAGAGGATCCTGATGTGTTGAGAATTAGGAATTAGAAAAGAATGCTGGGATGCGAAGGAATATGTCAAAGCAGCGTCTTTCTATAGCTCTATCCCTATGGCCATTGATTCTGAGGCTTTTGCTTAAAATCAGGTTTAGAACACTACATTCCTATGGCAGGCCTCTGTACATAATGCTTCTTAACTTGAATTTGTATTTAAATCAACAAGGGTTAAAGACATTTAAGCAGGTTGGTAGATAAAACATGATCTAATTTTTAAACTACTTTTAATGTAAAATCATGGGGACAGATTCCCATAGCATCTAAACGTGCATTTCAAAAAAGGAAAAAGAAAAACTTTATTCCAAGGATGCAAATAGAATTTTGACTCAAGTTATTTTCGCTTCAGAGGTAGCGTTGCTCTCAGTACAGCCTCTTCTCTTTAACTATCATCCTTTTGAGGCAAAATATTTACAGAGCATTGAATTATTTTTCTGGCTTTCCAACGGCATTTCATGCACTGAGATATTGATGTGACATAGTTAGAAGTTGGGCCCTCCGGACCTGTATTGTGCAATGGCATTGTGCTGCTATCATCAGGAGATGCCATTTTTTCCAGCCCCCAAGGTCCTGTCCGTACTTGTTTACAGGTCATCTGGATAGAAACTAGTATAGGTTCAGTGGCATGAGTGTTATCACGGTAACCTTGGCAACAGAGCTAGCTCTGATTTCAAAACCTCACATGCTGTATCATAAAATTAGATAGCAGAATTGACATTTTGCTACATGTCTGTCATATAAATTAAACTCTGAGAATGATTTTCTTTATAGCCATGTGCCTTAATATGGAAATAGAAGGCACCAATTAGAAAAAATTTTATACATATATCAATATGTACTGTTCCACATTTAGGTGGTGGATACATTTTCTCAATTCTTTCCCTATGATTTTGAACCTGAGATACTGCCATATTATTCTCACTGTGCAGAATTCTTGGCAGCTTTATTTTATGATCAGGCTGAAGCTCACAGCAGAGCTGCATCAGATATCCTATATAAATAGGATTATGAATAATAGAAAACTCAGCTCCTAAAAAATGTAAAATTCAAAGCATTCTTGACTTTACTGGATACTATTATTTATGCTGATTAGAAGTGAGACTGTGCACAGAATATTCTGCTAACTAAATCAGAATCCCAAAGACAAGACATGCTTCCCTTTCATTTATATAGTTATGCATATTTTTACACACATTATATTTTCCAGTACCCAAGAATCTTTGATAAGATCTTTATTTCAAGGGCATTTTAAACATGCAGATTAATATACACATCTGCTTTGAGTCCTAGAGTCCTCTTTTATAATTAGTAAATATTTTAATGTCAGGATTTTCCCCTCTACTTGTCGTGGTCTGGTGCAGTTTTTCTTGGATATAAATTTAAATACTCAACTTGTGAATTACATTTAATGTAAGCACCCTGCAGTTCGCTGCATTGCAAATCATTATTTTTAGAAATTTTATGGTTGCCTGGATATATTTGTTTCTCTTCATTGATATGTAGGGAGAGAAGCTCATTAATGATTTAAAAAGATGGTGTTTTGATTCATCGACTTGATTCTTCTCATTATATAAACAATAAAGGCAATAAATTAACATCTAATAAAATTGTGAGTTTATTTCTGAATATAACTGCAAAATAGTCTTGAATCCTTGGTTATAACTTTTTCTATTCTTTATATTCTTCTGCCTCCATGTTTTCACAGTCATCATTCTGCACATTTGAACCTAGAAAAGATGGTTTATAATTCTTACTAAAGATACCTTTTAGCAGTTATCTGTCAAACACCATAATTGACAACTGTTTTGTAAAACAGTTCTTTGGCTCCTAGAATGATAAGTTATTATATAAAACATGGAAGATCCTTATGTCACAACTGACTATAAAACAATTTTCCTTTTTTCCATATATCTGCTCTGTGTCATGTATCACATTTGAGAAATCTGCTTCCAACATTTTCTCATCCATCTTATTAGCCGTCTGACTAACTCCGGCTAGTTTTATGTTAAATACTACCTTCTTGCCTTACACCTAGCAAAAAGTCGAAATTCCTGCAAATTCAGGACTTATCCTTTTCAGAAAAAGATAAGTGGTTGTGCTCTCTCCATGTGTGCTTAAGGGAGAAGAAGGGCAGAAATCCTTCTGTGTATTTGCCGACCCTGTACAGCAAATACCTGTTACATTTTTTTGTAATGTGTAAACTGTTTGCTTTATCTCATTGAGTCATCATCACCTTTCTGTTTACAGTGGTAAATGGTATTTTTTTATTATTTTCTTTTATCTTGAAACTATTTCTTGTGATGAACAGAAATAGTTCAGCATGTGGTGGTTCCAGAACTGAGTCTAGTTTGGATAACCATCCGTACTGTAAAATAACGTCATTGGAAACCCTTCAATGCATAGGCGTTCTGCAGTGCAACATGGAAATGAACTCAGGCTGTGTGGGTGCTGGAATGTGGAGGCTTAATGGTCTGTTTGCATGACACCAAGATGTATTTTAATATCTGGTCTTTTTTTTTTTAAACTGTGACATGATATGGCATTAGATGGATGGGGGAGGGGAGGAACCATAATGATAAAAGAGAAAATACAAGTTAAAAGGCAAAATACAGCTTCTTGTGTGATTTCCTTTTAGGTCCGACGTTGTGGTCCTCTGTTTTTCGATCGCTAATCCCAATTCCCTAAATCATGTGAAAACGATGTGGTATCAAGAAATCAAGCACTTTTGCCCTCGCACACCTGTTGTTCTAGTTGGCTGCCAGCTAGATCTCCGCTATGCTGATCTTGAGGCTGTTAATAGAGCCAGACGCCCTTTAGCAAGGTAAGCCGAGGGACTCAGTGTTTCCCTGTGCCGGCCAAATTAAAATTTAGAGGTAGCAGATGTCTCTGTAGCCTTGGGTTCTGTTCTTCAGTGGCTCTGGGGCCCCATCAATCAGCCATATGCTTTAGGTTTGCTTGTTAAACATGAGGAAGGGGTGTGTGTCCCTGACCCCTCTCACCTCTTAGGCAGGGACCCATTTTTGTAAAATGGTTGACCAGCGATTGAAGTGAATTCTCTAATTATGATATGGAGTGTATAAAAGTGCTTTGAACTTTGTAAAGTAGTAAACAAAATGTTAGCTACTCATAATAATGTCTTTCTGGAAATTATATTAAAGTTAACTGACATTCAGAGCCATCAGCCATAATTCTTGCCCCCAGGAACATCAGGTTCATGCAAACACATATATCCAGGTGTTTGTTTGTTTTTGTTTTTGTTTTTGTTGTTTTTGTTTTTTGCGGTACGCGGGCCTCTCCCGTTGCGGAGCACAGGCTCCGGACGCGCAGGCTCAGCGGCCATGGCTCACGGGCCCAGCCGCTCCGCGACACGTGGGATCTTCCCGGACTGGGACACGAACCCGTGTCCCCTGCATCGGCAGGCGGACTCTCAACCACTGCGCCACCAGGGAAGCCCTATCCAGGTGTTTTTCATCTTCTCATTTTCCTCCATCCAACCTCTGAGAGTATTTCATTCCCAAGTTGGCAGTGTCAAGTTTTAAAAAATTATATAGACCAATGGTTGCAAAACTGCAACACTGCTTTTCAAATGGCTCTAGTGGTGATATGTTTAGAGCGTCACACGTTTAAAATACAACTTGAAGGAGAGTTTGTTTCAGTCTGTATAAAATGTGGATACCAATCTTGGTGGCAGGGACATGGAATAAGAGTTTTTCCAAAAGTTGTGCTCCTTCAATATTCTCTTTTAAAAAATAATTTTATACGTTTTATGCTTAACTCCGTTTTTTCCTGGTGAGCACAGCTTTTCCCAAAATGTTGATATTAATACCTTCCTTCCAGGCAGGTACTTGCCTTAATAGGGTTGTTAGAAAATGTTATAGATACAAGTTTTTATGCTCTCACAGCAAAAGCAAATGGTACTTTGTTGAGATAATTTCTGATGTTCTAGGTATGTCTTGGATGAATGTTCTGAAAACAATTCATGTTCCTTCTATTCTTAAATGCATGGACTAGGAATTGAATATCATAAGCCACGTAGAGGGAAAGAGGACTCCGGGCAAATGAGAGATTAGCCCCTGGCCCCGGAACTTTCTGTTTCAAAGGTTAGGATAGCCGGGCCTCACACCGTGGATGTGCGGAGGCCTGGAGGAGAGTTACAAAGCTCCAGGGGACAGTCCTTTCCATAGACAGTTCTGAGATTTGATGAAGGAGGTGGCATCTGAGCTAAGCCTTAAAGAGATTCATCAGTGTGATGAAGTTAACCCTTCTCCCTCTCTGCACTTCCCTTCCGCCTTTACAACAAGCTGCAGTTTTCCATCTAGGTCCTCAAATCCGAATTCTACCCAGTATTCTTATTGTTCCTAAGGCCGGTGCCTGTCACACACATCACCCTTGGTCTCGTAAGCCAAATATTTATTTAGGAAGATCATCTCCTAAGAGTGTGTCTCAGAACCAAGGATGTGTGTGTGAAGAGTATAACGACAGATCCCATCTTGCCTACGTTCTGGAATCCATCTGTGTCTTGACCACGGTTATGCCATAATTACAGCACTCATCTGCCAGTACTGCTTCCAGACATTTGGCTTCCTGGGTTGTGATTAGATTGTAAGCGGGCCTTGTGTGCCAGTCTAAAGGGTGTAGACTTTATTCCATGGGCTCCGTGGAACCAGAGGAAGTTTTTTTAAAGAACTGCGGCTAAGTCATACTTGTATTATGTGAGGAATTTTCGTGCAACAGTGAGCGCTGTGAGAGAAAATGTGGAGAATCTGAAGAAAGATGAGTTCAGGGGCTCATGCAATGAGGGCCTGACTGAAGGGTGTGGAAGTAAAGAGAAGCGGTGAGATATGAAATAAGGCTCACAAACCTAATAGAGGAGACTTAATGAGCTGTCGGACATGGACCGTTTGGTCTAGAACCAGGGAGTTCTAGACTCTCATTGCTTGGGAAAGGTCTCTCAGCAACTTGCAAATGTGACCTTAGGCAAACCCTTTAAACTCTCTGCCTCAGTTTCTTCAGAATGTAGAACAAATATAATACCCATAGAGTTGCTGTGAGGCTCAAGTGAGAAAATGACTACGGATTGATTTTTAAGGTATACGGCGAAATGTAAGCATAAGGGGATAATAATGAAAATGATGCTGATGATGGTGGCAATAATGACAACAGCTAACATGTATCAAGCACTTACTATGGAACAGGTACTATGCTGGGCAAGTATCTCATTTAAACCTTCCAATCGTCCTTTAAGATGCAAGTACTCACTATTATTCTTCCTATTTTACAGATGGGAAAACCAAGGCTTAAAGAGGTTAAGTAACTTTGTCCAGGATCACATAGCTAGCAAACGGCTGATACTTGAGTTATTGTTGTTACTACCAGAAGCACTTTTTTTTTTTTCCTGCAGTCATAAGTCCTTTATATTTGCAAGTCTTAAGGTTGGTAGATTTTTCAAGAGCCTGGTTAAAAGCCTGAATAGGATTTTAAATGTATAATCCATTTAGGTGCTTAGATAGGCCCTGGTTACTATTTTCTTTCCTGAAATAAGACTGATGCTAATTTTTAAAGTATTCTATTTCAGGCCCATAAAGAGAGGGGATATTTTGCCCCCAGAAAAAGGCCGAGAGGTTGCAAAGGAACTGGGCATACCCTACTACGAAACAAGCGTATTTGACCAGTTTGGAATCAAGGATGTGTTTGACAATGCAATCCGAGCCGCCCTCATTTCCCGCCGGCACCTGCAGTTCTGGAAATCCCACCTAAAGAAAGTCCAGAAACCTTTACTTCAGGCACCATTCCTACCTCCAAAAGCCCCTCCACCGGTCATCAAAGTTCCAGAATGTCCCTCCACAGGGACGAACGAAGCCGCCTGTTTACTGGACAATCCTCTGTGCGCTGACGTCCTGTTCATCCTCCAGGACCAGGAGCGGATCTTTGCACACCGGATTTACCTTGCTACCTCCTCTTCCAAATTTTATGATCTCTTTTTAATGGAATGTGAAGAAACCCCCCACTGGAGCGAAGGAGCTTGTGAGCAAGAGAAGCAGAGCAGGGATTTCCAGGGGCGGCCCCTGAGTCTTGATGCAGACGAGGAAAGGGAGGAGGGCACCCCAAGGACACCTCAGGCCGATCAGTGGACGTCCTCAAGCCAGAACCTGTCCCAGCAGGAGACCCCGGGGCTGGAGGCCGAGGGCTCAGCGGCAGAGACACAGACCCTGTCAGGCTGGAGTAAGGGCTTCGTTGCCATGCACAAGGAGATGCAAGTCAACCCCATTTCGAAGCGGGTGGGCCCCGTGACTGTGGTCAGGATGGACCCATCCGTCCAGCCAGGCCCTTTCCGGACCCTGCTCCAGTTTCTCTATACGGGGCAACTGGATGAAAAGGAAAAGGATCTGGTGGGCCTGGCTCAGATAGCAGAGGTCCTAGAGATGTTTGATTTGCGGATGATGGTGGAGAACATCATGAACAAGGAAGCCTTCATGAACCAGGAGATTACGAAAGCGTTTCACGTCCGGAAAGCCAACCGGATAAAAGAGTGTCTCAGCAAGGGGACGTTCTCAGGTGAGTGGGTCCAATGGCAAAGTCATCGACACCTCTGGTTGCCTTTGATCAAACGTTAGCCAGACACGAGGAGGGGAAGGGTAACCATCACGAGCGTACGTAAGTACTCTTCCCCCACGTACCCAAGTTCCACGTATTTTACTTATTTCATTCTCACAGACTTGAGGGTTAAATGTGATGATCTCCGTTTTGCAGATGGGGAAACGGAGGGACAGAGAGGTTAGGTAACTGGCCCACGGTTATACAGGTTGTAAATGACTGAGCCAGGATTTGAACGCAAGCTGCCCCCTAAAGCCCCGTGCTGTCACAGCGCTCCTCAAGGGTAGGTCGAGCTACCCCCGAGCCTCAGCCAGTCGGTTTGATGCTCACAACCGCCCTTCAGGATTCCTTCCCTGATCAAGTCTGTTTTGACCCTTCGGCACGCACCCATGACAAAAATCAGTGGCCTTTGTTCCCCAGGCCATGAAATCCTTGAGGCCATTTCGGTGACCCTCTGCATTCCCATCTGGAAAGCCTCATCTGTCTCTAATCCCTCTCCTTTCACTTCTCACCCTCCTTTACCCTGCTCATCTGTATCCTTCTTGCCCCTTCGTTGTCTTTGATAACTGTGCTGAGGGCTGCCCACAGCGCCCTTATGTAATTGCTTAAGCACCCTGGTGGCCTGTATCCAAGATGGGCGACTGGCCCATGCTTGTCCTATCTTACAGGCTTGTGCCGTTTTTGTTCTGTAATTGTCCTCTCTGTGTATGTTTCATTGTAAAACTTTGACTTCCTGACTTCTATTTATAGGGGTACTTGTATTCTTCTCTTTCTCTTTCATAATGCCTGTCATAGTAATATACATGTAATAAGGGGTAGCTGAATCTGTTCATTAATTTTGAAGCTTTGCCGTAATATTTACTCCAGACATTGACCGTCATGGTACAGAAGCAGTCTTGAAAGTTAATGAAATGTCACAAACCCACAGTAAAGTAAACAATAGACCTTAAGTGAACGTGATGAAATCTCCCTTTCCTTACTACAGAGGTATATTAACCAAATACAGTGTGGGAGCTTCAATTGGATTCTGTTTAAAAAAAAAAAAAAAAAAAAACCTATAAAATACAATTGGGGTAATTAGAAAAATTTGAATATGAACTAGATAATGGATGATATTAGGGAATTATTCCTAATTTTCTTAAAAATAATAATGGTATGGTTATCTAGGAGAATGTTATTTTTAGAAAATTCTTTATTAAAAAAGTAGTTAGGAGTGAAGTATCATGCTGTTAAAAAATGTCTACATAAATGTAAAATATATAAATATATATATAGCTAAGGCAAACATGACAAAATGTTAAGCATGTGAAAAGCAAGTTGTCGTTGTACTATTCTTTCCACTGTTCTCTATGTTTGAAATTTTTCAAAATAAGGCTGAAAAAATATTCCTCTCCTTTACGTTACTTTATGGTTCAGAGAATTTGTGTTGTGACCCTTTGTGTAATTTTAACTGCTTATTCCTTAATCCTCGGAGGACACGGTGAGAATTGGGTGTGCCCAAGGCGGGGGGTCGGGGGGTGCCGGGGAGGTTGGGGAGGGGTGGACACAACATCAGTGCTTAAAGGTATGGAGGAGAGAAGACGAGAGATGTAGGCTGAGGCGCGTGGGTGGAAGTTTCTCGGGGAGGTTGGCTCACGCTTGTGCTTCCTCCATCCTTGGGCAGATGTGACATTTAAGTTGGATGATGGAGCCATCAGTGCCCACAAACCACTGCTGATCTGCAGCTGCAAGTGGATGGCTGCCATGTTCGGGGGGTCGTTCGTCGAAAGCGCCAACAGTGAGGTAGGTGCCTTCCGAAAAGCCCAAGCGGCATCTTTATGAATGTGCATGTGTATTTATGTTAGGAAGTGTTTAACTGGCCAGAGGACTTCGATTCTTTAACTGCTAACTTGGAATAGGTTCTTTTGTTTGTTTTGTAATTTTTCTTTTTTTTTTTTTTTTGGCCACACTGCCGGGCACGCAGAACTTCCCCGACCAGAGATCAAACGTGGTCCCCTGCAGTGGAAGACTGGAGTCCTAACCACTGGACTGCCAGGGAAATCCGGAATAGTTTTTTAGGCAGTGCTTCAGTGTCAGGTCACTGTCGTCTTTTTTTTTTTTTTTTTTTTTTTTTTGCGGTACGTGGGCCTCTCACCACTGTGGCCTCTCCCGTTGCGGAGCACAGACTCCGGACACGCAGGCTCAGCGGCCATGGCTCACGGGCCCAGCCGCTCCGTGGCATGTGGGATATTCCCAGACCAGGGCACAAACCCACATCCCCCGCATCAGCAGGTGGACTCTCAACCACTGCGCCACCAGGGAAGCCCCTTCACTGTCTTCCTAATTCTGCAGTTATGAGGAGCTGTTGTCTGTCGCTCACTTGTTCTGTGTGAGCCGCTATGTGCTCCTGTATCCTTCCATCCTCACAGCTCTCCTTGTCCCTGAAAACATGCTCAGCTATATTTTTTAACAAATGTCACCAGGCAGGGTACTCTCAAAATCACATCGAAGCAGGGCAGACCGTCTTCCAGAAGGTGGATACTGAAAAGTGTCTTTAGTCACTTATGTCCTGGGCTCAGCTCTGCTAGTAACAGACGGGGGAATCTTAAAAAGCCACCTCCTTGTGCCTCGGTCTCCTTATCCGCAAGACGGGGGATGCACTAGGTCACGCTCAAGGTGCCTGGAGCTGCAACTCTCCGAGGCTGTGCCCTGATCTGTCTCAACTCTAGGGTTTGTCAACTCTAGGGAAACAGTAATGGAGCAAAGGGTGACTCCTCTGAAAGGCCTCTTGGAGTGCTTGTTACATCTAGTAGAAGCCACTGGGTAACCTGTCAAACGCTGGCCCTATCTCCAAAAGAGGGATATTCTTACAGCAGAGCAAGCAGTATCTTGGAGACCCTGTATCTCCACCTTTTTACGAACTGTTGGAAAAGACAGAAAAATTCCCTTCAAGCGTTTCTAACTTTAGTCTAGAGGTAGGCATTTTTTCTGTCGAGTTTTGCAGGTATTTCTTAACCATCTTTTTTAAGAAAAAATAAAACATGGGGACACAAGCTTATTGTCCTAAGAGGCTTCTTATGTTTATCTCAGCATGTCTCCAAACTTTTAACAGAAATACAGAAAACAATAGCTAACTTTTCCAAGGGGGGGGGGTGCTCACACCAGAAATCTGAGCACTCCCTTTGTGACCCAGACGCTTGCATTTGCATCCCCAAGTAGGGAAACAGAATCCTAGAATCACAAGCCAGGATGGCCAGCTGTCACTAGGCCACCCTCCTGCTTCCAGAAAAAACTATAGCTGCTCCTAAACCGACCCCCAGCCAAAGACTGTCTGCTGTTGGGGGAAAAGATGTTAGAATTATCCTGATGACCTCTTCTGGTGTCTGCCAGCCTTTGTAAACCAGGAGGTCCTTACCTGTAGCTAAATGTAGTGTTTCCTGGGCCATCAAAGGTGTTTGGGAGCATCGTTACTGAGATGACAGCAGCTGGTAGAGGCCACCCAGTGAAGAAAGGGCTTGAGGCTCAGATCCCCCAACTCCCCTACGTAAAAAGCTGAGTGGCCTTGGGCAAGTGACCACCTTGCTGGGCTCCAGCCTCCCCATCTGGAAAAGACGATCGTAAACCCGTAATGTGGTTGTGAGGTGTGACAGTTGATACTTGCAAAGCACGTCGTAAGCGCTAAATGCAAGATGACCTCAGTCCTATTTGGATGCCGGTAGCGTTGATGATATTGCTTCCCTCTCACTTCCAAGAAAATTGGGGGAAGCCACCAATTCATAAAACCTCATCCAACTGGCACGTCGCCAACTTCAGTAATCTCCTGAGATAAAGAGTCCAGAGGCTCGCTTCCCTTCTTTTTCCAGCTCTCTGAAGTGTGTGCCAAGAGTGCCGCAGATAGCCTGCTCTTCACCCAGCAGAGAGAAGTTGATCGAGGTCAGGAGCCCCTTGTCCCACGACGGGACACGTCAGAGCTGACCTCACAAATGCTAATCCCCTTTATCCCTTCCCAGAATGGACTGTAATTGTGTCCAGATTAAAATGTGCGGGAGAGGTGACCAAAACAAAAACTTGGCAGCCGATGTGAACCACACGCGTATGCGGCGCCACATCCTCTCCCAGGGACAACACCTGTTTAGCTTCACCCTGCCCCCCACCCCCTAAGGACTAGGTCACTCACCATTGAGAACTGCAGCTGAGCCTGATAGGGATGTAGAGATTCAACCCAGCTCAAGAGACAAAGGCCATGGAACCAAGCAACTGAAGGTCTGTGCCAGGGCACCTCGTATACGAAGAATGGCATGAGCTGTGGATATGTCCAGCCTTTCCCGCCCTTTCTCGTGATTTCCAGGGTAGACTGGAAATAGTCTACCCTGGAAATAGTACATAGTTATGAACTCTAGTCTCAGCTTGACCTTGGGCAAGAGTCTGACCCTCTTTAGACCTGTGTCCTCATCTCTAAAACAGGGACCACAAGAGAACCTTCTTCGAAGGGCAGGTAAGGCATGAGGATACGTGTGTAAAGCATCAGATTTGGTGCCTAGAACATGCAAAGGCTCAGGGAGTGTCAGTGACTATTATCCTGGAGGATTCTTGTTAAATTGTTTCCATGAGGAGCTCAAGATCTTTGTCCCCCAAAAGCCTTCAGGTAACAGGCCCCCGGTTCCCTTCCTAAACTAGCGAAGTGTAGTAGAGATGGTTATGGGGGTAAGAAGAGGCATTTGGTTAAAGGCTCAATAAATGCTTAATGGTAAATTGAGGCGCGTATTCACATGGGCCTTTTCTTTCTAGGCCACCTTTTAACTCTTTGTCTTCTGAAAATCTGACATCCTCCACAAAATCCAGCCTCTTTTTTTTTTTTTGCATTAATAGAATTCACATGCATATCCAGAAAGGAATAAAATATGCCCACTGATGTTCCTTTAACTTTTTTTGTCATTTAATATTTAAGAAGACACTGTAATTTACTTCTGTTTTTCTCATTACTTTTAATGTAGCAGTAAGCATAATTTTCTCCCCAGAGGTACTCAGCAAGTGGTTCATTAAAAATGCATGGCCGGCTTGTAGGAAGCAATGCTCTGGATCTAGAATACTCTCTCATTCTCTATGAGACCATCTCTAATTATAAGCCTGATAGTCTGAGCCGATCTTCGCAATTAAAATTTTAAACCAACTAAACTGGAATATGGGTCGTTGTTTAGGGTAGCATTATATTCTTATATTTTTTAAAGCTACATTCAGCAGGTAGGGCACAACATTTTTAATTCCATTTCTTGTATTTGTATTATTTTTTAAAGTTCTATAAAAACGGCCGCTCTGTTGCTATTCAGTTCATTATAAATGTTGAAATCACAGAAACAGCCTTTTAAAGAGAATCAGCATTGAGGGGGAAAGAATGCGTGTTCTGAAAGTGTTTTAGTTTTTTCTCATTTGCTGGTTACTTCTGAGGGTCCCTAACATTATTTGCCCAAAAGAGCCATTGCTTTAAAAAAAAAAAATGTTAATGTTATATTGAGCAAGAAGGAAACAGTAGGTCATGGATGATTACAGATGTCAGAATGCTCTGAAGACAGTGGAAGTGTTGGGCCAGGGCTGCTTGCTGGAATCCACTGTCATCTCCGGCCGCCAGAAACAACTTCTTTCCATTTAGGATGTCCATTTTGCCATGACTTAAAACACACTCTTAGCAAAAATTGCTAAAGTCATCTGGGTATCTTCAAAATCCGTAATCTCAGTGAAGAGAAGCTTTAGATGTCATCTATTCCAAACCTCTCCCATGTCACGGATGAGGAAACTGAGGTTCAGAGAGGGTGATTTGTCAAAGGTCACAGAGTATTTTAGCAACACATCTCTGGGCCTGCCCCAGCCTCTTGCCCTGTCCTCCAAGCCATTATTTTCAGAAACAGCAGACATCCCCATCCCTGAGAGAACAGGTGCTCATAGGAAGCTCTGGGACTTTTTTATATTTATTATCACTAACACTTTAGAGCACTTAGCACTTTGTAAAATGTATATATTTTTACTGTCACAATGGCCCAAATTTTAAAGTTTCACAAGTTAATTAACCTTCAGTTATCTAAAAGGTGTACTAATCCAAGCACCATTCTAGAGAAATGAAATTTTGCCATATGTCATTTGCCATATTTGCCATAAATAATTTCATGTCTGTATAAGATAAACGCATGTGTACATAAACATATATACACACAAATATAACCAGTGTTAGATTCACTGGAATAGAAATTACAATACAACAGCTTCTTTATTTCAAAATGGTATAAGTAATAGTTTCTACTTGCCAGGTTTTATTTATTGTAGAGGTTGTGCTAGAAACTTGAAATGATCACACTTGTCAAGTCATTGATGGTAGTAACCCATGCAGCTTATTAATAGAATCATAATTGTTTTCGCTCTGAGAGGGGAGGGGGTAATTCTCTTAATATTTCTAGGGATTTTTCTGGGCCCTCCCTTTCATACACTTAGGGAAACTCCAACTGTCTGAAAGGATATTCCCTCTCTGAAGTGGCTGGTGTCTATGCAGGAAAATTATATAGATGGTTGCTATAACTTAAACAGTTGTGCAACCACACCACTAGAAGACTGCAATGGCCACAAGGCCCTTGTCGATTGTGGAGGCATTTTATGTGTGTGTGTGTGTGTGTGTGTGTGTGTATATATATATACATATACACACATACATACAAATATATGGAGAGAGATTATAGTATAGATGTAATCATATATAATATACAGATATCATGTATAATTCATAAATGTAATCATATATAGATATATATTTTTCTGTGCTGTATAGAGAGGTTTATTAAGTACCAGAATTAAGAAGTGTATGACTGTTCACCCTTTTGAACTTAGAAATCTAATTCTAAAAAACTGTTAGTGAAATAAGGTGCTGTAGTGTAGCTTTCTTCCTTACCATGAAGGGTTTCCAGTCCTACACAGCAGTTCTGAACATAGACTTTAGAATCATATTTCCTGGGTTCAGATATCAGCCCCAGCCTCCTAGCTCTGTGACCCTGGGCGCTGGACTTAACCTCCCTGAACCTCCGTCCCTTTATCTGTAAGATGGCAAAAATAATAGTCTCTTCCTCCTAGGGAGGATATAAGGATCAAAATAGATAATGCATGTGGAGAGCTTATTACCACAGTACTTTGTGCATAGGAGGCCTTCTGTTAGGTTAATTCTTATCATCATTCCAAATAGCAAGCACTAGTGGCACCATTCTGTGTTTTGCCAGGGTACGTCTCGTGGAGCTAGAAACCTAAGGTGAAGAATACCTGCTATAACGTGTACATCCCTGTTGATCCAGGCCCAGACATTCAGAACGCTACTTCCCAGGCAGTCCCTGGCTCCCCAGCAAACTCTAGCATGTAGGAATATGGGCAACAACCACAGGTGCTCAGGAAGGAGATTAGGGGGATCCTCCAGGGGACAATTCCCCATACCCAGCCATTCCCCTAGATGAACCAAGCAGTGGTTTCTCTGGATTCTCTGTGTCTGCTGATACCTGATAATGTTCCAGTAGTTCTATGTCTACGCCATAGGAAAAATAAAGTGTGTATGTCATGCTAACATATACTTTTTAATTTTTTTTTATTGACATAGAGTTGATTCCATGCTAGCATTTAGTGAAAGAAGGTTGGAATCAAGCCAGTCACTGTGGCAACTAGGGTGGCTGCTCATCCTTTGTTTTGACATCTTAGAGAGCTGGGCTCTGTCATGTGTCAGCAACAGTGCAGTTTGCAGCTCCCCCCAACACCTGTCATGTTGCTAGGAGATTTCTTTCCCCACAATCGAGTATTATAAGGTACTTGGCAGGGAGGGCCTATAATGTCATACATTTACAGCCCATTTGTCTGATTTATAAGCCCAAACAGCCATTTAAAAATTCCAAATCAGGCTATGTCAGGCAGCCCCACTTTTTTGTCGTCTACAAATCAAACGGTTATGTTTAAAGCCATAAATAGTAAATGACTTCTCTGCACAGCCTCAAAGCAAGGTGTCCCAGACTCACTAACAATGAATCACACAGTGGGGATATTTACAAGCAGTAGAGCCTGAAAATGTGCCCACTGCTTTCTTCAGCAGAACTTACCTTTTCAAATAACATTTCAGGTATATCTCCCGAACATAAACAAGATGTCAATGCAGGCGGTACTGGATTATCTTTATACCAAGCAGTTGTCACCTAACTTGGACCTGGACCCACTGGAACTAATTGCTTTGGCAAACAGATTTTGCCTGCCACACTTGGTTGCGCTTGCAGGTAAGGCTGATGACTCAGGGCCATGCGGTGTCTGACTGTCATATTTATCAAAATCGCATTTAAGCAAAAATAAGATTTCCAGGGAATAAAAATTTATTTTTTATCACCCAATATAGAACTGTCTGGTACAGGGTGGTATGAACGGATCAAATGTATCAGACACCCCAGTTCAATTCAGCAACTATTTTTTAAGCACCTACTTTGTAGTAGGTCCTGCTGAGGCACATTTAAAGCTGAGTAAGGCATGGCCCCTGCCCCTGAGGCCCATGCTCTATGCCCTCTGCCTCATTTGTGGGTGGACCACAGAATTGGAAATAAAGCTGTTGTGTCCATTTATCCCCATACTATGTGTTCAGACACAGTGTCTAAGAAAGAGGCAGGGGACTTCCCCGGTGGTTAAAAATCTGCCTGCCAGTGCAGGGGACACAGGTTCGATCCCTGGTCCGGGAAGATCCCACATGCCACGGCGCAACTAAGCCTGAGTGCCGCAACTACTGAGCCTGCATGCTGCAACTACTGAAGCCCACACGCCTAGAGCCAGTGCTCCGCAACAAGAGAAGACACCACAGTGAGAAACCCACGCACTGCAACGAAGAGTAGCCCCTGCTCGCCTCAACTAGAGAAAGCCCACGCGCAGCAACGAAGACCCAACGCAGCCACGAGAAAAAAAAAAAAGGAAGAAAGAGGCAGTAGGAGGCAGTGGTTAAGAACATAGGCTACAGATCCAGATTGCCTGGGTTCAAATCCTGGCTCCACTATTTACTGGCTGGATGATTTCCTACTTGATTTAACTGCTCTGGGTCTCAGCTTTCTCTCTCTTTAAAGTGGGGATCATAATATTCTACTACAGAGTTATGAAGATTAAATGAGTTAAGAGATTATATATATATAAAGAGAGAGAGAGTCCTTAGGAACAGTGTCTGGCACCTAGTAAGCGTTATGTAAGTGGTTTTCTTAAAGCTATTTTAGAAAATGTTCTGACATTGTCAAGACCATTTTGGGAAAAAGGGAGACTTGCTTTAACTTCACAGAATCTTATGTATCATTTCTAGATTTGTTCAGTTGGTGAGCCAAAGCAGGTCAAAATAAGATATACGCTTTCGAATATTTCTTTTCTTGAATTTAAACCTTGTGCTTCATTCACCAAAGGTTTCGATTAGCAATAAGGGTGTTTATTGCTACATTTAGTTGACTCCTGTTAACCGTGAAAGCAGAATAGTGCCTGTTTTGCTCACTGGCTTATCCCCTGCACGCAGAAAAGTGCCTGAGCATATGAGGTTCTCAGTAAAGATTTGTTGAATCATTAAATGAAAATGAATGTATGAACAAACCAACCAGTCATATCTGCCCTTGACTTTCTGCCAGTGTCTTTAGAGAAAAGATTTACTTCTCTGTATTCCAGGTTTCTACTACACTCAACCAACTGGAGATCAATGTTTTCTCCTTACCTCCCTTCTTCACCAGTTGGATAACAAGAGATGGTTGAAGTATTGCTATTCATTTTTTAAAATGGTTTTTAACCAATATACCTGAAGTCATAGATTCAAATGAGTATTGCTGCTTTTTAAATACTAACTCTAGGAGGCTGCAATGGGCAATTCTTTTTTTCAGAAGTAAGAGTCCCAAGCCATTTGACTATCCAGTTTTTACAAGTACTTGTCCTTTGAAAACAAATTGAATTTTTTTAAATAGTCAAAAGTAATTTGGAGGCAAATCTGTTGAACAAGGTTTGGGATCAATCTTGAAGTAGTGCCATTTTTGCTTAAATATTAAGTGTGGTGATGAAAACATGGGACTGATTTCTCCATGAAAGAAACTGACCCAAAGAAACCTTCTTGTGTGAACCATAGACTTCTATGTATGATTACTTTTCTTATTAAATGCTATTATTAACTGTTATGATTATTTAGTAAAGAGCTTCCTAAGGTGGTTCCTTTAATCCTTTATATAGTGTTTGGTGTGTAGTATAGAGTGTTTAGGCCATAGTGTTTAAAAGTCAGTTTCTGGGGTGAAAATGCCTTGCAAGGCAAAGTGTTAAATGAGTATCAAGAAATATTGCAGTTCCCTAAAATTTAAAACCCAGTGACTGGACTTCCCTGGTGGCGCAGTGGTTAAGAATCCGCCTGCCAGTGCAGGAGACATGGGTTCGAGCCCTGGTCCGGGAAGATCCCACATGCCGCGGAGCGACTAAGCCCGTGCGCCACAACTACTGAAGCCCGTGCGCCTAGAGCCCCTGCTCCAGAACAGGAGAAGCCGCCGCAGTGAGAAGCCCGCTCGCCGCAACTAGAGAAAGCCCGCGCGCAGCAATGAGGACCCAACGCAGCCAAAAATAAATAAATAAAATAAATAAATTTATTAAAAAAACAAACAAACAAACCCAGTGACTCCTCTGGGAGATTTAGCTCCCAATGGTTCTTTGTTTGTCAATCGAGCTGGGGAAGCTTGTTTCAAAGAAACCATCCCAATCTTGATACCCTGTTGACCAGATGGGGGCGTACTGACTAACAAGTAAGTATGTATCGATAGAACCAGAGCAGAAAGTAAGCATGATTTGGACCATATACTAGAAGAATAGATGCAGTGCTAAAGATGAAAAAAGAATACGTCAGCATCAAGGAGCCAGAAAATGCCGGGCCAAGACTGTACGCACACGTCAGTGCTAGAGGCGGGCAACAGCCTAACAGAGGCAAGACACAGCTCAGTCTCAGAACCCCAGTTTGAATTCATCTTAGAAGCCTGGAACACAGCTTCGAAGCAGAAATGGCTCTCCCATCTAGACTTGTCTGACTTCTGGCTGAAGTTCCCCCCCCAGCCTTTGGAATCTGAGAGGTTGAACATGTTCCTTGTCTGCTGCTGCTGAGACACACGTACACATTCACAATTTTAATTCCCCATTTGCACTCATTCCGGTTACTCAGTCTCTCCAAGGTCAGAGAGTACTGAGAATTGGAGGGATGTGAATGGGGAAACTGTCAAGCAGGAAGATATGACGGAGTCTAGAGGATTCTAGGGCTTCCCTGGTGGCGCAGTGGTTGAGAGTCTGCCTGCCGATGCAGGGGACGCGGGTTCGTGCCCCGGTCCAGGAAGATCCCACATGCCGCGGAGCAGCTGGGCCCGTGAGCCATGGCCGCTGAGCCTGCGCGTCCGGAGCCTGTGCTCCGCAACGGGAGAGGCCACAACAGTGAGAGGCCCGTGCACCGCAAAAAAAAAAAAAAAAAAAATAGAGGATTCTAGGCAGGTACTGGCCTGTCCAGAGCAGCACGCTCCAACACAACTATGTGCAGTGATGGAAACTTTCTGTGTCCGCATTGGCCAGTACACATGAAATGCGGCTTGCGTGGCTGAGGACCTGAAGTTTTTACTTGGTTTACTTTTAATTATTAATTTAAGTTTAATAGTCTCAGGTGGCCAGTAGTTACCATATTGGACAGAGAAGGTCTGGAGGACTCTAGATATTTCAGAAGGCTAACAAGTATCCCCGGAGTCGCTGGTGCACTGGCTGGAGACCAGGACTCCCCGTGCTGAAAGGCGCGCGGCAGAGTGGGCCCTGGTTTCAGTTCACGTGGAGCTGTGACCCGTGCTTCCTCCCCTCGTGGCTGCTCCCGGGCCACGGCCTCCAGGCACTAACTTTCTCCCGCTCCCTCTCTCCTCCCCAGAGCAGCACGCTGTCCAGGAGCTGACCAGGGCCGCCATGAGTGGCGTGGGCATCGATGGGGAAGTGCTCTCTTATTTGGAATTGGCCCAGGTTTGTAGCAGTTTGCCTTTCACCTTTTCAGTGTGTTCAACCAGTTCGTTTAACGCTGATGAAACATTCCACTGTTGCATCTGTCTAAATAAAGATGTCACCACCGAGTCACAGAGGCCCCCCACTGTGTGCAACGAGAAGATCTGAGAGTTTTACGTTTCATGCACGGTTCACCCTGCTGGGCTTTGTTTGAATAAAACAACAAGGACCCCACCCACACGCCAGCCCCCTTGTGCCCCCCTCCCCCTGCCCCGAGGCACCAGCTTCACATGTGGGAGAACAACTCAGGGCATGGGAGGAGAAGGCATTCTCTCTCCTTCTTTGAATTCTCAAACACGGATTGGCCGAGATCAGACAGTTTCTAGAATTTCGCGAAGTCCAGTGATGGATGCCTCACGTCTCACTGCAGCTCTCCTGGGTTTTTTTTTTACATCAGTACTTGTTACTGTTGACGTCGTGGTTCCATAATCCCCATACACACTTGCCCCCTTCCTCTATAGAGGGTCTGAGATCCAGCCTCGGCTTTGTCACTACATAACTTACTTAATGCACAAAGCTAAACTCTGCCTCAGTTTCCTCATCTGTAGGAAATAAGGATGGTAACTCACACCCTGTCAACCTTACAGATTATTTTGAGAATCAGGTGGGAGAGAATGTTCCAGAAAGAGCACCAAAGAGAGGAAGCCCTCTCATAATACAAGGCACATATGCAGAGTTATCTAGTCCCTGGCCTAGACTTACTGGCAATGAGTTTACACTCTGAAGGAACTAAGAATAAACTCTTTAGTTTTTTCTGTGGCCTATTAGGTTTGGCTTTCTTCATTCCCTTTCTCAGGGCAGTGGTTTACCAAGTCTTAGGTCAGGCAGTTTCAATCCAGATTTCTCAGAAGGGAAAACGGTGGACCAGGACTTCACAGCAACCTGCTCACTCTGACTTAACATTCAACAAGGATTTGTTATTTTCTCCCCCTGTACCAGGCACCACCCTAGACGAGAGGACATGGAGATACAAACACGGTAGATTCTCTGCCCTTGGGGCCGTCCTAGGCCACTGAGGGAAACAGACACAAGCACAACTTATTAAAATCCAATGTGAAAAACAACCTCACAGAGGTTCCAGTTAAAACTGAGAACAGACATCAATCACAAGTCAAATCAGCAAGCCCCCATCAACACTGTCCAAATGGGAATTTGGGGGTGTTTTGAAACAGGCCTGGAGGACAGCTTATGACCTGTGCCCTCTCCAGTAAGTATTCCTCCTCGAGAACAATCAGATGACCCAGAACTTCATATAGGGCCAGCCCACTTGAGGTAATGATTTACAGTTGTGTCTATTTGTTTGCTGTGTATTCCCACCCCGTGCCCTCCCCCGACCCCGCCCACACATACACCCTGCAAAGAAATAATATGATTCCTGCTAAGCTCTGACAAGCCGTGGCAGGAAGAGTTTAGGACAGAGTCTCCCACATCTTAGCTCATTTGTTAGACCCTAACCCAAGGGGTAAGTATTTAACAGTCAGCTTGGGGACAGGTGGGACCCTGATCTGTTGCATTTTCCAGTTTCTGGGGTGTAAATACCCCTACCTGGCCAACTTTAACAACTTGAAGTCACCGAGCTCAGAGTACAGAAGGGATGCCCCCCGTGATGCTCTTAAGCAGGTACAAGCCAACGCCAGTACTGCACTGCCCTGCTCTGACTTGCAGAAGGAAATCTGTTATCAAGAGAAGTTGGAAGCACCTGCTAGAATTGTCTGTCATGTTGGGCTTGTGATCTGCAGAGAGTTTCTTGAGTTAGTTTCTGAGGGCGTTGGCTTTTCTCTTGGCCTCTGTTGAGGGCACTGATGGGGGGCCCTGGAGGAAGCGCACTGTAGGTTTCAGGGGTTCACCTGCTCAAAGAAACTTCAAGAGCAACAGACAACAGAATGGATGTCTGAAAGGGGCCTGGACAGAAAGAGTGAGGGATGGGGGGACCTGCCAAATTGGGGGAGGGAATGGGGAGTGGACTGTGGATTTTTGAGCATCGGGTGTTTTGCAGTCACGGCTTCCTCAGCTGCCACTGTCCTGAGCATCTGCTCAGAAAGGAGAGGGTGGATCGAGGGTCTGGATCCCTCCGTCCCCACCCACACTGCCTGCTCTTCTTATGTAACCAGAGGACAGGCAGAGGACAGGCACACATGCTGCGTGCTCCTGCACTGATCTTTCATGCTCCTGTTTTAGATCTCTGGCCCCAGCCACCTGAGCTTCGACATGCAACACGGCGGATTCTGTTGCCGAGGCTCCTTAAACAGAGATGACATCGCTGCTTTCTCCTGTGGTCTGGTGCCTTCCAGAGGCCACGGCCACTTATCATTAGAGGGCAGGTGGAAGGGGAGAAGAGGAGGGCAAGGCATACTTTAGACTCCTGATCTGATACAGTGATTATTTTTAGCGCACATATCCCCGGGGGGGGGGGGGGCGGGGAGGAGTGTGCCGAACGCTTACACGTGGCTGGCGTCCGAACCATGGGCAGAGTCAAAACCCTGTAGTCAAAACAAGAGGTTTCCGAATTAGTCATCTGGGCCCTTTATTTCTTTGACCCGTCCCGTGGCTTTTTCTTTCTTTGTAGCCCCACTTTAGAAAACAGAGTCTGACCCCCTTTTGGTCACTTCCCTGCAGTTTCACAATGCCCACCAGTTGGCCGCCTGGTGTTTGCACCACATCTGCACCAACTACAACAGTGTTTGTTCCAAGTTCCGCAAGGAAATCAAATCGAAATCTGCAGGTGAGGCCGTGCGGTCCCCATCTGTCCAGTTCCCCTCACCTGTGACTGAAGGGTTTACCTTCACTGCCCTCGAGAATGAACGCGGGCAGCCCCCAGCTCATGGAGAATTCCTTGTACGGTAGTCACAGATTCACGTGACGTGACCCAAGGAATTGGAGGTTGGAAATCGTCTCTGGAGAACTTCACGGCCGGGGGGATCTGGGCGGAGGGGGCGGTCAGGATGCCCTGCTGTGGAGCGAGCAGAGATTGCTGGTTTGCCCTTGTCCAGGGAGGCATGCTTGGGAGAGAGCTTACGCTCTGAAATGAAGGGGTCCTGGGTTCAGGCTCTCTGTGTCCAGCTGTGTGATTTTAGGCAAGTGATTCTACCTCTCAAAACTTTGGTGTCACAGTCTGCCACTGGCCCTACCCACAGTCCCTGCCCATTGGGTAGTTAAGTTGAGCACACGATCATCATATATAAGAAGCCTAAGCACAGAACCTACTAGCACAGAGAAGCCATGAATAAAGAGCAGGTATCATCATTGGCACCTTTCCTTCCCCAGACAACCAGGAATACTTTGAGCGGCACCGCTGGCCCCCCGTGTGGTACCTGAAGGAGGAAGACCACTACCAGCGTGTGAAAAGGGAAAGAGAGAAGGAAGATATTGCACTAAATAAACATCACTCGAGACGAAAGTGGTGCTTCTGGAATTCATCTCCAGCGGTCGCCTGAGGCAGAAGAGAAAAAAAAAAAGCAGAAATCTGACACACCACTTTTCGAAGCACTGCTGTAAAGTCGGTCTTACTGTTAGAGATAAGGTGTAGTTCAGGTGGCAGGCACTGCTCTTCCTCCACTTTCATGCATTTATCTTTGTTGGGATCAAAGCACAAGCTCACCATCCATGAGCCTGGACAAAAAGGGAAGTTGACGCACACTGCATTCCTTAAACTTGTATATTTTTTGTTAGAAGGCTTAATAAAACTTTAGTCCGTTATCTCATTTCTTTTTATACAAAGGAAAAAAAAAATCCAGCTCTCACGTTTCGAATTCCAAATTGGAAAATATTTTTATATGGTCTCTTGTAAATGAAAATACTGTGTATTACTTTATTTTACAAGCCACACATTAACCATGAAGTCGCCCTGTGATTCTTTTTGCCCATGTGATCACCAAGCGTTATTACTTAGAGGGTTATCCTTCTGTCGTGAAGTAAAGGGTTGGAATGAAATTCCCCAAAGTGCAAGTTAGGGAGTGTTTCATCTTTGTTCTGCTGAATAGCATCGGTATAATTACAAAGTCAACTCCAAGAATGTGTAATATTTATGATATTTGCCATGTAAGTGCTAGTAATTATATGGTTATATGTGCCATGTAAAATACAGTGATATCACATCTTCTGTTGTATAAAACATCTAGACTTAAAGGACAATCTTTATAATCATTAGAAGGGCTTATTAAATCCCAGCATTATCCAGGGCAAACTCTCTGGTGGACCTGAATACAGACGATACCGTAAGAGCATTGGTGTTCGGATTGCTGTATTAGGATGTACATCTCTCAGTGTTCCTTGATCTTGCCGTGTTTCTGCATGCAGATTCTCCACTGACTTGAATCGAGATGGGCAAGGGAAAGGGTCCCCGGACTCTGTCCCAACGTCTGCAGGCTTGTCACACCTCCCCACTGGAAACAGGCTTCCTCAGGTCTCTCACCTGCGGCCAACTTCACTTTGTAAGACCCATATTTTTAACTCTTCCCAGGGAAAACTCACGTTGCTGCAGAAGTATACCAAGGCAGACCACCCACCCCTGCTGAAATTCAGCGGGGCCTGTGAAGGCACGAAGCTGGAGGCTGGGTCGTCTAGGGTCACTGCATTCTCCAACGAAGACGGGAGTTTTACTCCAAGAGTCTAGGAAACGGTGCTATTGTGAGTTAGTTCTGACCCTTTGTCATTCTGAGTTTTCAGTGTTAAAATAGAAAGTATTGAGCAGGGGAGTTTTGAGAGGCCGTCAATCACTGCTTCTCTGTAAATTAAAATGTTACAGCACTCACGCAGAGCATTTTAAGGTCACACTTCCATACCTGTCAAGGGATGTTGTATGGTGGAGGCTGGGACTTATTCTTTCAGGAAGTCAATTAACTGATGCTAAAAGCTGTTGATTTTTTTTTTAGCTTTCAGAAGTTGCAAAAGAGACAGTTGAATCCAAACTCCAATGTTGACAGCCAAATATATTTGAAAATCTATCCAGATTACAGATGGACATTTATTACTGGCAGGGGATACACACCAGATTCAAAAGCTGGGAGAGGCCCAGCAATAAAGAGGCTCCTTTATCACCCTCTCATGACAAAGGAGGGGGCAGTAGAGTAGGGAAGGATGGGATGATTGTAAATGCCTCTACTTTAATTTGGGGTCAGTAGGTTGTAAGTCATTAATGGAAGGAGAAAGGAGACAGAATGAGTGGAAGAATCGGCATATATCCCGTCATAAAATGGTAGAAGTTGAGTTTTCCATGAGTAGTCAGAATGGAATTTATACAACCAAAGCTCCCATGTGATTGTAATCTTGCCAAAATGTAATGGACATATAAATGAACCTGGGTATAAGCAATAATATCCACTAGTGTTTGTTATCAGCTACTGTTACCAAGTGGCTGGTTCATTTGGTTAACGCTGATTATGGCCTTTTAACCATGGTGGTTTGTTTTGTGTTTTTTATTTCACAAAAAGCCAGTAAAATCGTTTAGCTATAAAATGCCTCCAGTTTTTCTTTAAGGACTACCATCATTATCATGTGTGTAATTTTCATTGCTTTTTAAAAAAAACTGTCAAAACTTCAAAGGTGCTGGGTCATGGGGGCTGTGTGTCCTCTAGGAACCAGGCAGCTTGAATGACCGTCATCTTTGTTTTCAGTATTGCCAGCAGCGTGCAATACCATGATGTAAATGAGGGGTCTGGATCTTGGCTCTTGGCTAATATGGTTATGTCATTAGACGTGGTACAGTTCTGGAAAAAAACAAAAATGATGTCTTTCCCCTAATGGACTTCTTATAACCGGATTTTGGGGGATTCCACCAGCAATTAAGTCAAAGTTTGCATTGGTGGACTCATGAAGATCAGTCTTTTCTTCAGAAGCAGATCTGAGAAAAGCCTTTGGAAAAATCTGTTAAAAATTTCTGGACTTCTAGGTAGTGTAATATTTGCCCAAGCTCAGAAGGAAGAATGGTCTCCAGTGAGGTCACAAGGGGGGATTTTCTGAGCGGCAAATTCCCTATGACTCCATGGAAAGGAGTTGACAACTATAAAAAATAACCGCAGGAAAAAGACAGTGAGTTTCCAATACATTTACACACCTTTTAAAGGTGGGTGGTCCAGATCAGACACCTTTTACATAACGCATACCAGTGGGGTCTTACATATAGAAAGTCTTGGTCTAAATCTCTCCTATGGCAATGCCTGGCAAACCATCAAGGATTTCAACAACCCTATATCAGCATTATAGGAACCACAAATTGTACTGGTTTAGAGGTGACTCAAGTATTTTCATTATAGACATTCAAAAGCAGGAATTCTATGCTTCTAAGATTTTTTTTCACACTTACTTCCACTGTATGGTATATCAGTTGTCAAAATTCAGTTTTTCATCACTGTGACACTGGCTAAGTAGAATAAATTCTACTAGTCAGAGGAAAAAACAAAGTGAATTCTGAATTTGGAAACTTAATGAGTGCAGCATTTCTGAAATGAATGCTTTTCTGCAAGCTAAAGATTTACCAGACTTTTTCTTACGGAAATATATGGGGGATTTCTTTAATTGGATGCCAGTGGGCAAGCAGCAATAATTCCTCTTTTCTAGAAGAATGTGACTATTGCATAGAAGATGTAGACTTAAAAGTTAGCCAGGGAGAATGTGTTCTGTGTGTGCGTGTATGTGTGTAAGTAATCAAGAAACAACACACGGAAGAAAAAAAAAAAAAAAAGGCTAAACACAATTTTAAAAAATAAAGAGGGAGAAGGGGCACTGACCAGAGCCACCGAAGTTGAATTAAGCACTGTGAGCCTTGGATGCACCTCTTCCTTCCAAAGTGCTAATTTATGAGATTATTCCATATCTCATGACTTAATTTTCAGATGAAGACTTTGCTGTCTTAAATTTCCAATTAGGAGGCAGGTGATGTACGCACTGGTGTGGCAATGCTGCTGACCTCCTGTCAGAGGAGAAGCCGTGCTCTTCCCTTTGGCTGCATTTGAAAATCTCACCCTGTGCTGCTAGTGCCTTTAAGTTGGGTATTTTTACTTAAGCCATTTAGATGCGGGATTTTTCACTGGTTCATGTGCAGGTGCCTCGTCAGTTAGACATTTACAGACTATAGTCTACAAAATATGGAAATAATTTGGGAGCAGATAACTCTTGGGTGGAAACAAGTCAATCATACAGTTGCACATCCACAGACGTGAAAGTGTTAGAAACAACAGTAGGAGACATGAAGTGACTTGCCAGCAACTCCCTCCTGTTGCTCACCAGTTCTCTAGGAACAGAACATGGAAGTGACATGCATTTCCAGAATGTAGATGAAATGGGTGATTCCCAAATGGGGCCCCATGGAAGGAGTATTTAAATTCTTTGAGTCTGAATACATTCTCAATCCCAAAGACAAGAATGGTTAGATGGAGGAGGCGATCAATAAGAAAAGAACGTGCTTCATATCTCTCTGCTTGGATGCCAACCAAAGTTTGAGCATTTTTTTTTTTGTTTCCTCCCAATCGGATAAAAATAAACATCCTTTTGATTTGATGATTCATGGTAGTCCCAACTGGAGGGATAATACCCATGGAATGTTAAGTTTAACTGGTGTGGGAAAAGATACACTACCTCTCCAAGCTTTAGTCATCCAGAAAAGAATGGAAACAACTTTCACTGAGTTTTTCGTGCAGATTAAGTGAGATGATTTACGTAAAGCACTTGGAACAGTGCCTGACACATAGTTATCACTCAGTAAATAAACCTATGTACTCCGCATGTGAAATACCCAGGCAAGAAATCCAGGAGAGAGGACAACTCTGCACATTACAAAATGGAACAGTATTGTCTTTTCCTGCATTTCTCAAGCTGTGTGCCAGCCTTGCTGCTTAGTGCTTCGTGACAGTGATTAAAGAGTTAGAAAATAAGAGCTATGGAAAGAGAAAAGGCAAGTGGTAGGAGGATGGAGGAGAGTATGGCTCTTTCCAAGAAGACACTGCCCTCACTGTTCCTCCCTTCTCTCCATAGAATAAGGGCTGGATCACCCTAAAGTGAAACTTGGCTGAGCCAAGTTTGAGATGACATCTCAAAAGCCCCTTGAATACTAAGATTACTGATTTTTGCCTTAAAAAAAAACCCTAGAGATGAAAAACCTTTCTCCCCAAACCATCAAACAGCTCAGGGTTTTTGAGCACAAGCCATATGTTCTCCTTCCTTGGCCCTGCAATAAACCTTTCCAAAAAAATAAATAAATCCCTAGAGAGCTTGTGCATATGCATTGAAGGTTGCCTTCTAATTTTATTTCACATATGAAGTCTAAAGAAAAAGTAACCTACCAGTACAAATTCTACAGATTTTTCAAAGAGTCTCTTGAATTCTGTGAGTCATATCAACATGAATATAAAACTTAGTTT